TTTTTTTGCATATCCAAATGCTCACTAGAAACGTGACACGCCCACTGGTACTGACTCATACTCCTCCTGCAGCTTCTCCCTGAATCATTCGGACCGGAAGATTTCTCAAAGGACAGGGTACAGTCTTCATAGTTAATAGTTATTGTGACTTATCTCCATCCAAGCTCCTTGGGGTTTCCCACTGAAGGCTACTTTTTTGATTGCCTTTAAGAGGTTTGCATACAACGGCACTGTCATAAAGAATTTCTGCCACTATTCTTAAGGGAAGTAGCCACTGTGTGGACCTACATAATGATCACGTTATATCGTATAAAGCTTTAGGTCAAATCATTATGGTTGACCAGGAAGCTCTTTTCGTTATTAAGGAAGCTGTGCCTCGATGATAAGATACATTACTACTTAGCTGCTACAATCAAAAGAGCTGTGGAGCTTCCGATTGGCATTGTTTTGTCCATTATGCCCCAGATGTTACTTTCCGGAGACATTTGCATATGCTATTGTCCTCCTATTCTGTAGGTTCGTCATCCGTCCAAGAAATAACAATAAAGGGGAATGGGAAAGGTGAAAGGGAGAAACAGGGGAGGAAGAGGCAACCTGTTCTAAGCAGGGTTGATTTGAATCATGGATACGGTAAAGCCCACAACCGCACACTATAAATTCATAACACAGTATACAAGACATACTACTTCCGTAATATAACATAAATCGTAGAATCACCTAGGAGATGACCGAAAGCATCGAGATGTAAAGTAAGCGATCAAGCCTCATCATCTTCATCCAATTCAGCGTCCTCCACGCCGAGAAGCTCATCCTCATCATCAACAATGCTAGTATAATCGCCTCGGCGCGCTGCAAACGAACCGCGAGATGCGTAGGGCCTTGAATAACCCCTGCCCCGTCCAAGGCGAATAAATCCACTGGCACCCCGCCACAGACTCGTAACTAGAAGCGGAAGAGCTCTGGCAACGGCCACGATGCCTGCCACAATCGCAATCGGCACTGTGACAAACCATGAGTCTCGGGACAGGAAGCTCTGCGAGGTGCCCGCATCTTCTCCAAGGCGAATCTGCCCAAACTTGCCATCCCACCTGCTATAGGCATAATAACCAGCAGCTCCTGCTACAGTAAGAGGGGTCATAATGGCAAAGAACAGGCCCACGCCACTTATGCCGTGCTTTTGTTTAAATTCCTCCTCTTTGTTAGGACAGGGTTTGGAGACAAAATGGTCCAGATTCAGACCGCCCTGGCAAGTTGTTTGTGGAATGCGGCGGTATCCGGTTGGCTCCCAGTACTCAATTGTGTCAGGATCCTTTTTACAGACTTCCATAGCATCCGGCTTAGGAAGTCCCGGAACGAGAGCACAGCTACCATCGCTCTGAGGTTCATAGTTGTAATCACTAGCCAACGTTAGTCTTCGCACATTATCACTGAAGCCGCGGGGGAATAAACGAAACAATTACCATTCATAATCAGCTCTCGTGCAAGTACAATTCGTTCCGATGCTGTGAATGTGGGATTCTCGCCAATCGTTCCAACATTGGGCTGACGGCTTTTTGCGATGATATTGTTCACTGTGGCCAAACAGGCAATTATTCTCCTGGAAGGGGTGCTTTGGCTCCCAGATATAATAGTCATCACTATCCCCTTGACTTTCATCCAACAAGCATGGTCTCGAGCGGACTCCACTGAAATCAATGTTGAACGTGGCGAACTTATCTTGGACTTCAGAATTAGACACTCTAGCCCAAAGCAGGAAGTTCTTTGATGTATCGGATGGCACGGTTGAAATATCGTTAATCCGCACTTCTACATCTGAAAACCGAAATTCTTCCCAGGTATCGCCCTCATCGAGACTGTAGTGTATAGTTTTGGTGGGCTTGGACTCGGGCACAATAACAATAACCGAGCCGGAGTCACCGTATTCCCACATGTATTTCCCTTTCTTGACGGACTTCCAGCTAATCCCACCATCATTTGTGAGGAACGTATCCGCTTCATCTCCACCGGCTAGATGGTCACCCACATTACCCACAGCCATCATCAGACCAATTGCGGATCCAGAAGCAAAAGTGTCCCGTTCATCTTTGCGCTCTGTATAGCCATGAAGATGGAGTGAGCAGTCATCCGTGCCTTTCCCTGCTACAACCGAACAGCCAAAGTTTTTGCCATCCGCGTCCTTCGCTGGAGGGGGAAGTAACATCCATTGCGCTCCATCATTATGAGTGATCATAGTCTTGAGCTTTTTTGGCGCTTTCTTCGAGACTTCAGCCACGTTGCTGACAACGTTTACAACAGCCACCCCTTCCAAGCCCTGCATTTTCTCAAAATCGACATAACCCAGACTGTTTCGGTTGACTGCGCTGATGCTAAGAACGTACGATGTCCCGTTGCTATTACTTTTGATAATAGGGCCATACTCACCCCCTTCTGTGCTGCTCGCCGTCACATGCAGGAAAACAGCGTGCGTTGAGCTTTCGAGCACGGTATATGCGGTTTGAACAGGCACTTGAACGTTTGGCGGGAATTGTGCTCTTGCGAAAGTCCTACCGTCAACGCTCGTACTAGCTACCAATGAATCAGGGTTTTCTGGCTGCCGCGATGCTACAATGATGAACTCTGACATTGTAGCGTAGTTTATGACATCGACAAATTTGATCTCGTTGTCACTGAAAAAGTCATCGCTCGACAACAATTGCAGTCGACCGTTCTTGCTGTGCTTTTCAAACTGTTCGCAGTATACGAGGTTTGTACTGTTTGGCCGGGTTTCTCTATTTTCGAACTCGCATTTTTGGACATAGCTCAGTAAAGGTTCCCAGTTCTTATCATGCCCTTTTTTGATAAAAGCGTCCGAATGGCAGTCACCGGAGTGGCAATCCACGGCGCCGGTCCAGATTAGCCGATCCTTGTGCACTGGGTGGAACGCTATAGTTTGCAGGAAGCGATCCTGAGTGGGCGGAGCCGGAGCCTGAAATGGGTTGAAAGTATAGCCACGGTCTTCAGTCCAAAAGCCCTCTTTGCCATCGGTAAGAAGGAAGGCCACGTCGCTGCTATAAGGGTGCAGATAGACTCTGGTAATTTCTTCTCCCTTCAGCGGCCTTTCCCATGTCTTGCCATGATCATGCGTCACATAGACCTCGTGCTCACTGTTTAGCATTATGATGGTTTCGTCACTGCCGGAGCTACTGGACTGTCGTTCTAAATAATAATACTGCGCGTAGTCTCTTGCATCGAACAACTGCAAAGTCACCCCAATTTTGCCGTCAGTCGGGGGACTACTGGCGTCCTTGCAGGACCTTTCAATTTCTTTGTCCAAATTTTCGCCACCATCTCGAATGCAAGCATTTCCTGGGATGAGCCTCCAGCCCGATGGGCCCATGAATTTATCATCAGGTCTTTTGCACTTGCCTTCCGGAGGGGTTAGTGGGGAGGGAAGGACACACCCTTTCCCATCCCCGGTGCGCCTGTATTCACACTCGAAATCGTCCGTTGTGCACTTGCATGCTTCAAAAATCGGCTCCGGGTCCTTAAATTCCTCATCCACAAAACAGTTCGCGTTGGCCCTTCTGCGCCTGTAAAATTGTTTATGGCCCATCAAACAATCTGGTTCGCCATGTTCGTCCAGTCTAGCCGGCCATTTCTCAAAGTCACCATCGTCGCATTTCCTCTCATGGAGGCCATTGAAGTCGATCGAGTAAATGACATGTTCACCATCTTGACCTTCCTCTAAGGAACCAATAATAATAAATTTCAAACTAGTGGAATCGGGTGTGGTGGTAACCATTGTGGGGTAAATCTTATGCTGGAGCTCGACAGACGCCCATTCCTTGCCATGATCAAGGGAGTAATTGATCTTTTCCACTTTACCCTCATCACGCACCGCTATAACAACGGCACCCTGGTCCCCAAACTCATACTTGTGGGGATGCTTGAGAGCACGGCGCCAGGTCACTCCCGCGTCATCTGAGATATAGAGATTGCATTCAGCGTATTCTTGGAGATGATTGCCTGTATTTCCTACCCCCATAACTAGCCCCGGTGCCGGGCTTGAAAACACCCGTCCTATATTTGTAAGCGCAGTTACAGAGTGAAGATGAAGGTTTTCCCCGTCTGACTTCAAGGGCTGAAATGTCCTGCCATCGTCAAAACTAATTCTGCTGGTAATCTTCTTTCTGGCGGAACCAGATTCGACTTCCTCTGGATTCTGTACGGTGTTGACCAGCACTATCCCTTGGATACCAGCAATCTTTTCAAAGTCGACCATGCCTTCCGAGTTACGATTAGTGTGTTCAATATTGCGGGTGAAATAGGTGCCATTCGAGTTTGAAGTAAAAAGCACGCCCATGCCACTTCTTGGACTAGTCAGAACATCCACCTGAAGGCTGTAATTTGTACTCTCTAGCATCGTGTACGCATCCTCCTCTATTCGATGACCATCGAACTCTGCGCGGTGCCAATTTTTAGCATCAACTGTCACGTACAACGCGAGCTCCTCTGTCCCTTTAGATTTGGCCGCGGCTACTATGAATTTCTTAACTGCAGCGGTGCTAATGACCCCTGACACAGGGCGCCCTTCTTGGAGCTTGGTCTCCGTGCCTTCAGCGTTGCCCCTAAAATAGTCATCAGAGTATACAAGGCGATTGGCGTGTGGAAGCGGCACTTTCAAACCCGGGACGACACAGAACGAACGGTCCTTGATTTCCTCGGCCAAATCAACATCTTCAGCAAATTGCGGGTGTCCCACAGCCCAAGCACATCCACCAGTGCTCTCACGCAGCAAGTTGACCGTAGCGAAATCATCTGTCGTGTAGTATGACCTTACAATACAATACCGGCCTGCGCATTCCTCGCCCTGGAATATCACTTTGCTAGAGTCCCCGCCATGGAACACGAGGGGGTAATGCCTTATCGCCGGAAACTCAACAATATTAAATGATGTCCATGTTTTCGCTTGATCCGTTGTAACCCAGTGACGGCCGTTGGGCCCCAAGGCGTAGGCCTTCCGATTGTCATATGGGTGCTGTCTGATTAAAAGAACATGATGTCTCATGCCACCGTCATCGCCCTCAACAACTGACCAAGTTTCGCCTGCATCGACTGACCGAAGCAGATCGCCATTGACCGTACTCATAAGAACAGTGTCCGTGTCATCGAAGTAGAAGAGCGAGCTCGGTTTATGATCGATCTTAGTCGGTGGTGCAGTTTTTGGCAAACTTGACTTCGCAGCACCGTGCTGGGCAAGGAGCGCCAATAGTAGGCAGCTCACTAGTAGAAGCCATCGAAAAATCATGACCGTGACTCTTGAAACATTTGAAAGAACGCACACAAAGGCTTATGCTTCGGTGAGGAGCTGTTGCTCCGATGACGTTTGGGTGATGCGGGAGGAAAAATGGAGTGGTCCAGTTCAAATACGCGCTACCTAATTTGTACTGGATAAAAGGATAGCAGATAGGTGAAATTTCAGGGCCGCAAAGCGAATGGCTTCAAGCTAAGAATGTAGTGCGTGGTGGATAGCTGCGTGGCCTCAGAGGGAGCTGCATGGTCACGTGTAAAGATTGCTTATCGAAGCATTAGCTTTTTATTTTTGCCAATTGACCGCCTAAAAAGCAGCATGACTAGTATTCAGTATCCAACCATGATACGTATTGAGCTTATAATAGTAATCTCAACTATGGAATGAGCATCCGCACGATCCTAGAAAACAACTTGCTAGTTCCTATTCTGAAATTACTGGTGGCTACCGAGGGGGTCTACTAAATTCTTAAGTATGAAAGGTACAGTACTGTATCTTATTTCCGATTGGGCCGGTAGGAAAAGCCTATTCATGTATGTACAAGCAATACTAACGGGCACCGCTAATTGATGAAAGGTTCAAAGAATCATTAATCATAGAGTAAAGAAGAGGTTATAAAGGACAAAAAGCTCAGAATTTCTGTTTCCGAAACTTACGCCACATTTTCCTCATCAACCCTTGCTCGTCCTCACTGGATTCCCATACGTGGGAACCGCTATCCTCCAGTGGCAGCCTCTGTGGGTCCACCCTGGGTGGTGGCACAGTCGTCCGAAGGTCGGGTCTCGTCAGCGTCATCTTCAGAGTCATTTCGCGGTTGCTACCGGCATGCTGCTGGTTGCCAGGCCTCGGTGGTAGCAACCATGACTGGTGTCTTGGATTTGGGTATCCGAAGTCTAATGAGCGAGAATTGTGCACATACGAGAGTCGAGCTACGTTCATTCGCTTATCACACTGTTCGTCTGAAAAAGGTGAATCCTCGTCGTCGAGGAACGTGCCAGTAAACATTTGAGGCTTCGTTTTGCGTTCGGCTGGCATGGTTCTCTCATTGTTTTGAGCCGGAAAACCGAACTCAACAGCTTCATCAAAGTTTTGCGGGGAGGCCAGGTAGACCCGCAGTTTAAGGCGGGCCTCAGGGTCCTGATAATATTGCGCTGATGGATCGATACTGGACGTGGAAGATCGAGGTATATGGGCTTGTGTTTGGGTCGATGACGGTCGAGAACTTGAATTACGAGCCGTGATATTCATCGGCGCTGTCGGAAACGTCGACGATCGACGCACGGATTGCGCTTTTTGACGCGACACTGCCGATGTTAGTTTGCGAGTTGAAACGTCTGGGTTAAATGATAGCGCCGTTCGAAAAGAGGGCCGCCTTCGAGGCGGCAAATTTGGCATCGACTTGGCAACATGCGCGTGGTACTCGTTCAGTCTTAGGTCAAGATCTCCGTCCTCTTCAAACCAGCGGAAGTTATCGTAGAGCGAGTTGTCCATGTCGGTATCAGAACTCAAATCCGAATCAGAGAAGTCGAAGTATAAGGTGGATGACTGTGAGGTTGCAATAGAGTTCCTGTCCGAATATTGAATTTCAGGAGGTTGATGCTGGGAACGTCTTGCCTTCTCCAGCGGGTAAGGCGCTTCACCGGCAACATCAAAGAACCAAGCTTCAAACTGCGTTCGGTAAAACCAATTCTGTTCTTCTTTCGAGAAGAGCTTCTGCTGGATTTTAGGTGGCAATGAATGAAAGCATCGCGAGTCCACTTGGACGGCAAGATGGGCCAACTGGAGCGAGTCGACTTTGCGGAGCTTCTTAGTCGTGTTTGGAAAGGAAGACTTGTGCGGGCGGCACTTCCTGTTCTTAATGAGGGATTTTATGGAGGATGTCGGATAAGAGCAACCCTGAAGGATACAAAAGGGGAGGCGGCGAGGCACTTTAGCCAAGCGGCGTTGATAGTTAATGCCATCCCAGCGATCACCTTGGGCTAGACGGAGGCGTTCGATATTGGAGAAGAACTATGATAGGGGATAAGGAGACCATGTTAGCCACCAAGTTCTAAGTGGAGCTCGTAGAAACCATTTCTTTAGAATATCAAGCAGCCATGGCTCGCGCGACTCCGGCGCCCAGTTCACACCATAGATAATAGTTTGGCACTTCAACTCCAGTAGTGCGAGCGCTAGTGGAATCCATCCGCAAATCATCCGACTAGTATAGCAACTTGGATCCGAACACGGGCCAAGCCATTGCTCCTAGAGTAACGCTCGAATGATAACTAGAGGGTCCCGCATTGTTCGCCATTTGAATTCGAAAGGGGATGGTGGGAAAGGAGACGTGACAGAAGCCTAAAGAGATGATGGTTTGGAACAGATGGGGTGGGGTGAAGTCAGGACAGCCGCAATAATACCCAAATCAATACGGAGTACATGATCTAATAAAGATTTTCTCTTCACATACCTTTCGTTGCAAAGCTGGAGGCAGAGATTCAAAATCCAATTCCTCGTGTGCTTCCGCTTTCATCTTTTCCCGTCCCCTTCTCTGTTCGCTTCTTTCACAACGCAATTTCATATAACAAGATAAGCAGAAATGTCAGGGATACAACGGAGGGATGCAGAATATCAATATGGGTAGTTAGTATATATGAGCACGTTGCACTGCAGCTGTGCCCAATTGCCTAAAAATCTCAAGCATGCATGGCATTGTGGGAGTTTGCATTCCTTTTAAAGAAAGCCAAAAA